TTGCAAAGTTCCAAAGCAAGGAAGTTTTTCCACTACTTTCTTAACAACCTACTTTCTTGAATAGCAAAAGACTCTTACCAAAACAAGACACAGAGCTTTGATTTTAGGAGAAATTATGAAAATTCAAAATGTCTACCATGACCTCAGCTCTGGGGTTACTTTCGAACCCATGAGAGCTGAATAAGAGAATTAGAAACTGGAAGTAGAAAGAGCTTCAGAAAGGCCATTTGATCTTTCCCTCTTCAGTAAGGCAGTGGAAGTCAGGCCTTCCTCATAGAAATGGAAAAGAATAAATTTTTACAAGCTTCTTTATGTATAGTGGTCTATTCATTGCTGAATAAAGAACGAATTATGTTGTTGAATTCATCTTTAAACCCAAATTATTTCAGTAAGTGACACAGTAATGTTTTGCTATGGAAGATATTTTAAATGCTGTGACTGAAAACAGATCTGCATAGGCATGAGAAATGTGCCAGGTCTTGATTTCATTCTACTGGCAAGACAGCAGCTCCCAAGATAGCAGCAAGGGAGGGAAGCACAAGGTGAAATCCACATAGAACTTAAACAGCCCCAAAGCAGGCAGCACCTTGTCAAGCACCTTGGCCTTCCCATTCAAGCATGGACACAGACCCGGCCACCACTTTTTGTCATCTTCAGGGCAGACAGACCAACTGCCATAAGTTACACTTCCAAAATGTCACCCTGGAATACATGGGTGGTAGGTTGGCTTGGAATCAGTAGCAGCTGTCCAGGCCAGTATCCCTTGTGTGGGAGGTGGCTGATGGTCCCAGAAATTTCCCCCTCCTCTACCCAGTGCTGTTGTCAGGGGGTGCTTTTCCTCCCCTGGGGGAACTATGGATTTACAAAATACAGGACTCCAGCATACCTTTTCTAATACCTGTGGGCACCTAACTCTGGACATGCTCCTCAGACAGGGTCTACACAAGTCTGGAAGAAAAGTATAATTAGAGATAACTTAAGGGAAACCTTCCAGGACTTGTTATTTCCCTCACCAGTTCACAGACATTAGTCTCCAGGTAGAGATGGGGCAGGGCTCCACATCATTTTGTCATCCAGCCATCAACCTCTCATCATTAACAGGCTCCTAGTGTTTCATCTGAGATGTTCTAGCTCCAGTTCCATGCCATAAGCTCTTCATCTCTCAAGCAGATTATTGAGCAAAACTGCAAAACCTCCTGAAGGCAGCTTTTCTCCTGGTGGTTGCCCATTATTCATAATCATTTGCATTAGTGATGCTGCATCTTCTTTCACAGGCAATTACATCTGATAGATTCTGGCTTCTTCAGAGACTTTCCTTTCCCACTATTTACCTATACTGAATCCATCTTCCCCACCATTCCCAGTCTCAGGTTTCCTAGAAATCTGTACCCATCCAATACAGATATCAAAGCTAGATGCAAACCAAGGTTGCTGAAGGCTTCAGATTTGAAGGATCACTGAAATACCCTTTTATTTGCCTTGCGAGAAGATATTCCTATTCAGAGAGAATTTAAATGGTAGTTTGAAACATCTGGGGTTTATATTTAAAAATACAGCAATGCTGTGTACTTTTGAAAAGCTTTAGACATATGTTTGCCTTGTGTTGTGAGATAGGTTTACATGCACAAACATTTATTAGTCGGGTGTTTAGATGGTGGCTTTCATCAATTCTATAAAGGTTGATTCCAAGAAAAAATAGAAACTAAGGGAGATAGAAAGATAAAACCAAAACTCTCCCCAGTGACCATCTGGGAAGAGAAGTAATTATCATCCTCAAAAAGCATCTTCCATTGGCTCCTCTCCAGCACACATGCAAACCCATCCACCTTTTTCCATAGAACTCTATAATCTTCATCAGGATCCACTCAACCCTCCTACTGGTGTTTGTTTCTGTTGCTGTTACTGCTGTTACTTTCTCGTGGGGCTGCTGCTGCAGACTGCATCATTGAAAAGGTATGCACTTGTTTATTTTTGGGTCCCCATAGCATAACTCAAATGCTGCAACCAAAGAACAGGAAAAGGTCAGAGAAAATAATTATTTGATTCTGGGAGAAATTTGTTTCTCAAGAGAGCTGATCATTAACAATGCTGTCAGGGTTGGGATGAATAAGGCCTTGAAAATATTAACGTGAGAATAACATCATGAGAGCAACAAGGGACAATCTCTGCCACAGGAGGCTGGCTGAAACACTGCAGGGCTTCAAGGCAAAGGCAGGTTAAAGAACTGCAGCTATAAGTGCCCTGGAATTATAAAGGTGAAGGCAGCTAAGACACTGAGCAGCATTTCTGGGCTTGAAAGGTGGTATGTTGCTCATCCCCCTCTATGGCTTCACTCTTTGCACTTGCTCTGATAAGTGACTTCAGTCTCTTTTCCTCACCTCCTCTGTTTGCTGTCCTTCTCTTTCAATATTTCTGATGATTCTTTCAAGTGCACTGTCTCCCATAACTAGCACACACACATGCCCTGCAGCCAAAACCCAAGTACTTCTGCTTTGCATGGACGAGTACTTGCTTCTTTACCTTTACTGGACACTGTAATACAGAAATATCTCACCTCTAGTGACAAAAACCTCCCTTTTTGCCTTCCTCTGAGCAGCAAAAGTTATTTTTCCAACTTATTAAATAAAACATATCTACCAGCTTTGAAGCCACCTGGCAGAACAGTCCCTGTTCTCTCTTAATGGCCTATTTAGCGATACTGAGATATCAAATGCCACAATACCTTGTCATTACCCATCACTGTGTTTATCCTTACAGTGACTGTGATATTCAATAAATGTGTAACATTAATATTCTGGTAATTTCCTAGAAGTTTTCTACTCTAGTGGTCTACATTAAGTTTATTTATCATTAGAGATATTATAAAAATATGTACCTATGTTAGTTCCTTCTTCTATAGCATTTGACACTGTCCTGCATGAAAACCTTGTCTCTAAACTGGAGGGACATGGATGTGATAAATGAACTACTTGGTGGGTAAAGAATTGTCTGGAACTGGATGTATTCAAAGACTGAGGTCAATGGCTTGATGTCCAATAGGACACCAATGACAAATGGGATTACTCAGAGGTTGTTACTGGGACAGGTACTGTTAATATCTTTGTCAGCGACAGGGACAGTGGGATTGAGTGCAGCCTCAGCCAGTTTGCCAATGACACCGGGTGGGGTGGGGTGACCAGAATGCTGGAGGGAAAGAATGCCATCCAGAGGGGCCCTGACAGGCTTGAGAACTGGGCCCGTGAAAATGTTCTGGACTTCAACAAGGCCAATGCAAGGTTCTGCATCTGGTTTGGGGCAATCCCAAGCTCAGAGAAAGGTTAGGCAGAGAATGGACTGGGAGTAGGCCTGGGCAGAGGGACTTGAGCGTGTTGGTGGATGAGCAGCTCAACATGACCCAGCCATGTGCCCTTGCAGCCCAGGATGACAAACGTGTCCTGGGCTGTGCCCAAAGCAGCGTGGGCAGCAGGGGAGGGAGGGGGTTCTGCCCCTCTGCTCTGCCCCAGTGAGAGCCCACCTGCAGTGCTGCAACAGCTCTGGGTCCCCAGCACAAGAAAGACTTGAACCTATTGGATACAAGTCTAGAAGAGACCACAAAGATGATCAGAGGATGGAACACCTCTCTCTGTAGGTCTCCTCTCTCTGTAGACAGTCTGACAATGTTGGGAGTGTTCATCCTGATGAAAAGAAGGTTCTGGGGAGGTCTTACCACACCATCCAGTACTGAGAGGTGCTACAAGAGAGCTGGAGAGGGACTTTTTACAAGGAATGTAGCGATAGGACAAGGGGGAATGTTTTAAACTGGAAGAAGGCAAGTTTATATTGAAGAGGGTATGTTTACACTGACTATTAGGAAAGAATTCTTCACTATGAGAGTGTTACAAACCTGAAGACCCAGGAAGTAATATGTTCCTTTGGCATGTTGATTTTGGTGATAAGGGAGGCAGTAGTTCTCCAACATATAAATCTGAACATCTTAGAAAGAGGGTTTTGCAAAAAAACTTGAAATAGCTGTCTCAAGAAGCTGGAAGCAACAATTTTATTGCTAGCAGTTATTATGTACTATTTATGGTAAGCAGCTTTTTAAGGACTGAAGTGCAGATTGTGGTCTGTTTGCTATCCCTAATAAAAGCAAATATAGGAAAAGACAGTCCATAAGGACACAGATTTTAAAAACAAAATAAAAAGACCAACAACATATCAGGTGTGATGGAGAAAAAGAAATAACTCTGTAGTTAGTGCTTTAGCTTGTGAAAAATGTGCAAACAAATGCCAGGAGGAAGAAATTGGATAGCACAATAAAGAAGATTAAAGGTTCTGGGGGAAAAATCAAGTAAGTGGAGCATGAAAACACAATACTGGTAATTAATACAAGTAGGCACAGGTGAAAAAAAGCTTACAGGGGAAAAGAATACATAAGTCACTCAAGCTGTGCAGAGCCAGAGTGCAAATGAAAATTCAGTAGCTAACACAAGGAAAGGAAAAATCAAACTGTGGCTGGAGGAACATGAGAAGTGCATTGACAGCACAACTGCGAGTAGGCAGATCTAAAAGACGGATATATCTTCCTTTCTCTGGGAGGTCATGCAAGGACTCTGCAAAGAAAATGGAAAACAACAAGATCTTTAAGAAAATATAGAAAGAAACACAAAACAACTGAGAACACAGCCTATTGATCATAAATTTCTAGAAACCATGGAGCCTGTAAAAAAAAAAATAATCATATTGAAGATAAAATTGGACTGTTCTGAAAACAACCAGATGACATCTTACTAAAAAGCTCAGAATTTCCTTTTTTTCACTCTCTCCTTTTTTTCTTTTTTTTTTTTTTTTTTTTCTGCAGGCAGAAGGCTCCTTCTCATCTAAACAGCAAATGAAGTCATTTTGCTCTTCCCACTTTTGTAAAAATGGTTGGGCAAGAAAGGCAAAACAGCATTACTCACAGGAGATATTATTTCTGCAATAATGTAGGGAAATCAGTTTTTTCTTATGAATCTAAGTCAACCAAAATGTCAAAATTTACCTATGATTTTGGCAGGCATTTCTGAATAGTGACTGTGTGGAATTGTTCTGTGTTTTCTCCTTTTGAAAAGGTCTTCTCTTCAGCATTTAACCAAATGAGGAGAGGAATCAAATTTATTTATGGAACTCCCAGCTGGCTCTTATTTTTTTTTTTTTAATCATTATTACATCTTAAATAGCTGCTGTCTGTATTAGCCTCTATCTCTTTCTGTCTCTTAAGAAGCACCTTATTTACAATAAGGTAAGCTCAAGAATCACTTGATTTTAAAGAAAATTCTTAATATATTGTGATACTTATTGATGTAGGATATCCATGTGTAAATACTTGTACATTAACTGAATCAATGTGGCAACAGGAAAATGCCTCAAAGCATTTATTCATTTTGTGCAGTGAAGCACATGAGGAAATGGAATTTTAATGACAAACTGTTTTAAACAGTAAATAGAGGAAATCCAAACTGTCATTTAAATAGACCTTCATGTGAAAAAATACTATAGTGATGCATGGGAAGGCTGCTGCACAATTCCCATCTGATACACATATTTGCTGAGATGCAGTTGACTTAATATGACACTTGGCAGAAAAACAGCAAAATATTTAAATAATCATCTAAATACTTTCAAGGAATTTAGGTAGAAGAAGATAAATAAAATAAAGCATGTTCATAAACTGAATTGTATCACATAGTAATGTTGTGTGTATTTCATTTCAATCTACTGTTTTTGACACTGTGAAATTGTTAATCAGACTTTTAAAATAAAATAGTGCCTACATTGAATATATTAAGATCAATATTACAGCCATTTTAAAGGTTTATTTTCAGGAGAAATGCAAAATAAGCATCTACTTGCCACCTGTGCAGTGCACCTACTCTGACATTTTGGTGTAAGAGTTTAACTTCTAATTACATGGGCTGTGCTCAGCTTGGACGAGAGCACAGCACAACGAAGTAAGATGACATCACAATCAATTTAAATTCTATGAGTTAATTAAAGCCTTGAGCTCCCATGTGCATGCCAGGCAAAGAACGTGAGAGCAAAATTTGTGAGAGCTATGCTGGATCTCTGCTGCAATCTGGGACACAACTGAAAAAGAGTTTTCAGCTAGGAAAACACAGCAGAGACATCACGTCCTTGTACCTTTACAGGAACATTTAGAAAGGAGGTTCATTACACCAGAAAGGGGAGCTGTGAGATTTGGTTTATGTCATTATCCTGCCATGATATAAACCAGCTGTGAGGGAGTCTGTTTGAAAGCAGTATTTAAGATCAGAAAAGCTGATAGGTGTGCATGCAGCACCTAACATGGAGACCACAGCATATATCAGATGTTGTAGCAGAGCAGAAAGCTGATTCTAGCTCAGTTTTATCATTTTCAAATCTATAATTTCATTTCTAGACCAGCAAATTTTCTTTTTTGTAGACCACAGAATTTTCTTTTTAAGGTTTCTTAAGATATTTCTTTCATCTGTAGCAAAGTATACATTTTATTAATTTTGACATGTTTAATCAGTCACACAGCTCTGACTAACTACCCTTTGTTGAGTAATTTTTACATTACTAATCTGTCCATTAATTTTCCTGGGTGATTGGAAGGTGTAATGAAAAATTGTACAAAGGGCTGCCCTATTACTAGTTCAGCATGTTGCCATATTCAAATCCTATAAATCTAGGAAACACTTCTTCCAGAGCTTTAGAGAAGTGTCTATTTATATTGTAAGTATATAATATATTCTATTCGAAGTTCTATTTATATTTTTGTATAGCTCCTATCACTGTGGCATCTGACTACTTCTCAGGCCCCTATTATATGATACAGCTACCTTATTTTATTGGAATGCTCTTAGATAATTTTTCAGCTTGGAAAAAATGGAAGAATGTTATTTTAGGGTTATTTGAAACTGCCTGTGTTTATTTTTAGCTGGAGAGGTGCCTCTTGCACAGGGAAGATGATACTTTGAAGCAATTCTTCATTCCATCAAGAGCTTATTGTGTAACTAACTGCAGACCATTACAAAACTCAGGGCCTAAATAAATACCTGCTCTACAGGCTGGGACTGAGTTGTGCCATCTCCTGAAAACAATCCACTATGAAAGATTGAACTGTTCGTAGCTGTGAGAAATATTAGGTCTTCACTGACAGAAGCCATGGGAATCTTGGGAGAAAATAAATTACTGATCATGTTTTAAAGAAGTCACAAGTAAGAACTGGTAGTTGCAGTCACAATAACAGATCATCTCTTTGAGAAAATTAAGGGAAAAGTATTAATAGATACATTCTAAAAAGAGGGCAAAATATAATGTTTGCATTATCCATTAGCAGGAAAAATGTGAGAAAATTTGGCAAATAGCCAGTGAGGTTTTTGTTTAAAAAATATTCATAAAGAATATGTGCTTCTACATTTGTGTGTAACACATATCTGTTTTACTCAGAAATGTTATGGTGCTCTGTCTCAGAAATTTGACTGAGAATCATTCCATTTATGAAGTATTAGTAAGCAACACCCCCAGGTTTAACACTGCATGGCTCTTTCCACACAGATGTCACTCTGGCTGATGCTTCTGTGGAGTCTAGAATTCAGTAGTTCTGTCTCCATGTCTCTCTGCCAGACAAAAACTGCAAAAATTATGGAAATATGAGCTTTTATGATGCATTTCTAAATGAGTGAAGAAACAGCAGACTTACAGAAAATAAAAATCAATAAAGATAGTTTCCAGAAATAAAACTTATTTTGATTTTGTTTATGTTAATTTATTTTGCCTTGAGCAAAACAGTTCCACAAATCAATTTCACCACCAGTAGGAGACTCAATCATCAATAAGTTAAATACCAGAATTTGTAAGTATAAATGATCTGATCTGGAATAAGTGAAGAAATATGGCAATGTGTTCCAAGAATACAATGATTCCTTGTAGAGTTGAAAAGGTACCAAAAACCCTCCCTGCTACTGCCTAATCTAGTATTAGCATCCAAATCTTGAAAAGGAAGTGTTGGAAGACATTTTTAAACACTGTCCCTATCCCACGTAGGCATTGTGTCATAAAACATAAAACATAAAAACATAAAAATTTTATGTCATAAAACATAAAAGTGAGTTGCAGATGTTATTGAGCACCCTTTCCCAAATTCCAGGGCTGCCCTCTCTTCTGAGCCAGCTGTTGAAGCCAAGCCAGCAGATGGGAACACATCCATGAGGAGTGATGGCAGCACTGCCATTGCCAGGGTCAATCTGCTCAGAACAGATCTTAGTGACCCTGGCTGCTTTTGCCCATTTGGTCAGGAAGGAGTTTTAAAAATTGAAATGATGCCCCCTAAGAATTACTAAAGTCACAAGTGAGATGCTGTATTTTCCTCTTGTTATACCCACTGCCCAAAGCAAAAGGAATGACATCCCCTCCCTGGTATGTGTCACGGTGTGCTCCAAGCACTGTGCCATGCACACCCACAGTTACATTTCATCACACCTTGAGCAGAAAGATTTCATCATACAGAAGTCAAGCACCTGGTAGCTTTTTAGTTTGCTTTGTCCCAGGGCTGCCACAAACCACAAGTTTCTTTGTAAAACCGTGCAACACACTTTTAAGCAGAAATACTGTCCTGCACTTGCAAGCAGTCAGAGCTCTTGGTGGTCACTGCTCTGAGTTTGATATTTTCAGAGTCTCAAATGTCCTTGATACAGCTGACTTTGAAAAGCACCTCCACCAAAACTATAGTTATGTTTCTACAATCCAGAGAACAGTTGCCAATAGTGTAATGCTCCATAATACATAAGGCCAGGTGGATAAAAGCACTTCCTTCCTGTCCTCTCAAAGCAGAGCAGTAAAGGCAGATAGAGCTTGGAGAAGAGAAGCTGAAACAACAAAGGCAATTCCAAGCACTCACAATCACCGCCTGCACTGATGGTCCCAGGAAGGCTTTCAGACAGATTTCCTCCAGGATCTCTGTGAAAATGACCTCAAGGGTGCTGCTGCCAGAGCCTCTTCTCTGCTTTTCTACTCAGGGTCAGTCAGATGCTGAGAACAGTCTTTTCCTATATAAAAATGCAATTTGTTGCTGTAGTCCTAAACTGTAGATAGATGTAGATTGAACATATATTATTTTGCAGCAAATACTATAACCACTCCTGCCTCCTTCTTGCCTGATGAATTCTGGCTCTTTAGAAAACAAATTATCTTTGAACTCTTCTGGAGACTGGAGAAAGCGCTTGTGCTTGGAACAAAAGATACTTTCCCATCACAGCAAAGACACAAATAAATAACTGCAGCTTGGTTTCCCTCCCCCAGACATCAGCTTAGAAAAGAAGAGATCTGTTTTTCTTCAGCATAAAAAGCAAATCCATAAATAACCTATTGAAAGGAATATCTCTTCCTTCAATGTTGAAAAATGGTTCATAGGTATATATCATATCTGTAGTTTTATTGTCTTTCTCCCATCTTCCTTTTTATCCCTGTTAAACACAATTCACTTAAGAGTGGAAAAAAGTCATAAAGTGAGTGGCAAATCCAGTTTTATTAGGAATCCTGTCAGTCCCAATCTAGAAGGAGGTGATGAAAGAATTTGGGTCACTTCTGTTCTTTTTAAATTCTATTTAAAAAGTCAAAGCACATGAGTGCAAAGGCTTAATAGGGCAACAGCTGTAACTTACAAAACCTTCCTAGAGATTTTCTGCTGATATTTGCTGTTAAACTGTTAAGTTACATAGTAACAATGTAAACTTTGTACTATTTTTGCATGAGAAATGCCCAGGAGAAAAAGCCTTTTTGTCTGAGGTACTGCAACTAAACTTGTTCAGCCTAACATAGGTAGATTTTTCTTTGTTTTTATGCTGTAAGAAAAAAAAAAATTATCAAGTGGCCTATAAATATGTAGAAAGAATAAGTCCTGGAAGAAAAAGTACCATCACAAAAATTCCTAGTTTTCATTTCCTACCTAAAATCCTGAAATATCTATGTTTTTTCATATTTTTCATTTTCTTTTATCACTTCTAACACATGCAATAAGTAGCAAGATCTCACTGTTCTTCCCAAAAGAGCAGTTCTATTGAGAAGAAAAAAAAAAATGAAGGTCTCATGAAAAAAGCTTTGATCTTTGTTCACATTTTTATGCTTCACAGGGCTCCACAGTTTCCATGCTGTCTGCAGTGATTTCCTCTCACCCTTTTTGCTAGCAGCCTCCTGGAATTCAGGGAATGACTGAAAGTTTGAACTTGATGGGATGGAGAGAGCTGATAAGAACAGAGC